AGTGATTATTTAACTGTAGCAATGCTCTGTAACTAGGCTGGAGTCTGACTGCGCTATGGCTTGGAGTGACTAAACTCAGGCCAGGAGAGGAATGGATTTTTGCAAGGTCCTTCATAGAGCTATAGTTTTGTGTTATAATTGGACCCTGAAAACTGTTGGCAATTATACTGTTGGCATAAGAGTTAAGTGGGTTTCTGTTTGTTTGTGGGTTTTTAATATTCCCCCCCTCTCAGCTCCCCCAGTTATATTTGCTTTCTAAATACATGCCAGAATTTATGCCTACACTTACTGCAAATGTTTTTAAACCTACAACCTTGGCCCCGAATCCTGAGCTCTGCAGTAAGTTAGTAGCTAGTCTCTCGTACTGGTTTCAAACTTGGCTACAGTCACAAAATAAATGAACTGTTTGTTTCAGCTTAGCCTCTCCTGGAGGTTTGTTTGCATTATAAAACCACAATGCAGTTCAGCAGACTTCTAGTTTCTGGAGTGGTGTAGTAGGGTTAATGCAGGTCTTTTCTGGGGAATGTCAGCCCTAGTTGTGGGAAGCTTGTGCTCTGACAGTACTGGCTGGAGCTAGGAATCATCTCCTACAGGGAGACAAAATTAAAGCAAAATGTTACCTATATGAAAATAGAAAATGTTGGGATTTTCACATTGGAGCACAGTGTGTAACTGAGACTATAAACTGCATGTGAGACTTATCCTGTAAAAGCAGTCAAAAGAACTTCAGCTTCAGGATGAGCTCGGCCAAACACAGTGTAAGCTCTGGTGCTTGTAGCTACCTTGTCTGTAATTATTTGGTACCATCTGTCTCCTAAAGTGAATAAGATACAAACCAAGGAACTTCCCTCTGTTAAGAAAGAGGGTGACAGCAGTTGAGAATAAAATTGTGGAATGCCTGGTCCTCGTTACCTGTTTAGTTTGAGTTCTTGTATTTCATTCCCATTTTTTTCTTTTTCCTCCAGGCTAATGACTTCAAAGTCAATTCAGTCTTTGGAAGATTTTGTTCTTTACGTTCCTTTGAAGCTTTTCTGAAATTTGCACATTACTACAGTGAATTCTTCCCCTTCACCCCCCAAGTTGTTGTTTTGTTGAGTGACACTTGCCAGCATAATTCCTTCACGTTTTTGTAGTGCTGGGTTTTGAAGCTACATCAGACTGTGAGTTTAAATAGTTAACTCTTGGCAAATGAGTTATGTCAAAGCTTTGGCATCTTGTTCTTCAGAAAACCTTTTCAAATTAATACCATGCATCCATCAGATTTATGGCTTTCCAGGCTGAATGCCTAGCGACAGTCTTCTGTCTAAAAATGGTTGTTGTTGTTAAGGCCATCTTTTAGGAAATTGTGAGCTTGACATTTGAGTGCAAATATGCACATATTTATAAAGATACTGGGGAAAGAAAATGTCTTAGTAACAAATTGAAATGTTGTTTTTGGAAGGATCTTGTTTTATACCCTGGGGTAAAAAAGGATGCTGCTAAAGTTGAGAAGCCTTGTCTCTTCTTATGTCTATAAAATAAAAAATGTTAAGCGTTGGCTAATATATGTCACCTGTTAGTTTTATGTTGTTGTGAGGGGTATAACTTGATGAGCTATTGTGGGGTTTCCGTCTTCAAATGCAGGCTTAGGCATTGGTTTTGAAAGCCAAACCACTAAATAGCCAAAAGAAATGCTGACAGTATTTATATTTATAGTACTTTATATGATTAAAAAGTCAATGCATGCATTTAGTGGAGAAACTGATCTTGTAATGCTAACATGAAAATGTGGTTGGGTATGAAATATGCTGCAACTGTGCTTTTCAATAATGTAATAAATGGATGAGTAGTGCAGGTATGCATTTTAAGAGGTGTATTTCTAAGTTGTTTCTGTCTTGGCAGAGTGGGGTGCATTTTTCTTGTGTAAAAATGTCACAAAAATTGGTCTGAAAGCTGAGAATTTATTGGGAGGTGGTTTTTTAAAATGTTTAGTGCCTTTTTTTTTTTTTTACCTGCTTGTTGATCACAGCTGTAGAATTTTGAAGCTGAAGAAAACTCATCCAACAACCTCTTGGTTGCAGGATTTGCAGGATAGTGTTGGATTCCGTTCAGGGCACTTTAATTAACCATACAAGGTAGTAAATTAAAGTACCTCAGACTGACTTGAAAGTCGATTAAACCTTGCCTGATTTCATGGAGAATGTGACCATTAGTTTAATTGGCCAAAATGACAGGAGCCCACTTGGAATGGTGCCCACTTAAATTCTTCCTCTAATTCTGTGTGTGCAATCCTGGGCAGAATGGTAGACAAATGGAGCTCTATTTTAGTAATTTCCAAGGAATTTGCGGAGCTGTCTGGAAAGAAGGCAAACTCTAGCAGGCAAAAATGAAGGAATGGGTTACTTGGGAATCCAGATGGCAAAACCTTTTGGGGTTTATGTTGTGCGAAGTACTTTGAATCTCTTCTTTCATTGTGGGATTTGTGCAGAGTTTTGCAAAGTTCACCATGTGATTTCAATCAAAAGGATGTGTATGCGTGAGGGGGATTTTTTGTTTTGTTTTTGTTAAATAGATTGAGAGACTATGTTGAGAGCTGATCTTTTGTTAATGGCGTCTGGATGCTTAAGGCAGACCTAGGCTTTTCCTTCTGAGTTAGCATACCTAACTCAGTATCTTTCTCTGGTTAAGGCAACAGCAGGCTTCCCTATTTTGTTTTTGCATATCTCTTGCTTGAACTTACTATCCTGATTTACAAGTTGGTTTAGTTTGCTGGGCTGCAGTGCGGATGTGTTTCACTAGATTTAGCAGGGGTGTCTACAAGCTCTAGGGGCCACATCATGTGGTGTTACTGTGGTACTGGAATGTCAGACTGTGCATTTCTGGGGCAAATGCTTGCTCCCTTCCTTGGAAAGTGTCTAGCATGTGGGGGTACTCTGATGCAAATAAGTTCTAAAAAACTATTTCCTCAATTACAGCAGTTTTTCTGGTCAGTCTCCAAAGATCCTTCCATCTCCTGTTCCAGAAAATGAATTATTAACACCAAGGTTTCTCATCAGTCCTCCTTCCATAGATAGTTCTTTCTTTATCTCCTTGAAAAGTAACTGAATTATAGTTTGTCCCTTTCAGATCAAAAGGAATAATTTAAGTGTGCCTTGGAAATTCCTGGGCATCATCTCTGCAGCTGAGGATGTTCTCTGGGCTATTTTTCTCATCTGGGGATATATAACAAGCTTTATCTTCCCATGGTGCTTCTGTACCATTTCCAGACCCTCAAGGCTCATGGGGCAAGAATATGAGGTCAGAAATTGGATCCTGATGATCTGTGTGGCAGTCGGCCACACCATAACATTAGACTGTGTAGTACTATCATCTGAAACATGCAGTAAGGTCACACATGTGGGAGGCTGCATATAAAATTCTGTAGGAATACCATGAGGTGGGGTTTGATAGAGATTAAATTTTCTTAATCAGGCCCTAGTAAGGATCTCTTATACCCACTGGCTCCTATTTAGAGAGGAAAGTGTTAAGATGTTTGAAATAAACACCCTTGAAAAATACGGAGGTTTTTAGTGGTGGTGGTGGTGTGTTTTTTCTGGGAGAGGACAACCTCAAATTCCATGTAGTTCAGCAGAGCTTACTTCTGAAGGCAGGGAAGAACTACGTGTTTTTCTGATGTGCTGGCACAGAGCACCTCTGAAAGATACACAGCGTACAACACGTGGGTAAAGCAGCGCTGATGTATATTCAGAGGACAGCTGGTGTGCTTCTGGTTTTGAGATGCTCTTCAAATTTAGTGTATTGTTCAGGTTCAGTACATCTGTGTAAACAGAAGTAGAATCTGCTGCTCCCTGCTTCGTGATGATTTTGTCCACCATTTTTATTTTAGATTTTATGGTTTCCTTCCCCTCTCTCCAGTTTTTCATTCACCCTTGGAAGCGGGGAGGGGAAAGAGAAATTTATCTTCTTTGTGACTGCTCACTTTGTTCAGGTTTTGTAAGGGCCCACCAGGTTGCTGTAAATGAACAGCTAAGTATGGAAAAGATGAATAACCTCCTAAATATAAAGTTAAAAATAAAATAATAGTAATAAAAAAGTAGGCTAACTGTAAGGTTTGCCAGTCCAGGCTGAATCTGATGGGCTCCAGAGTCATACCAAGTACTTCATCAGCCTTTTACAATGAAAAACAAAAAATTCTCTTAGCTGTTGGGGTGTTGGTGGTTTTTTTTTGTTGTTGTTGGTTTTTTGTTTTGGGTTTTTTTTTTTTTAAAAAAAAATTTTTTTTCTTTCCTTTTTCTTTCTTCTCCTACTTGGCAAACATGGCTTGTTTCCTGTGCTTTCAGTTGAACTGAAATGAATATAGCTTTAAAATGTGTGTTTGTGGAGAGAATTGTTCTGGTAGTTTCCTATAACAATACTTCGGTTTTGTAGCAGGATTGTTGATTTTTTTGTAAATGTGGGGGCTAGATCATTAGTGGATATAAACTTATGTTCCTACCAGTTAAGGAATTGGTCTTGGAACACTCGTAGGTGGAAGCTTCGAAAACAAAGATTTTGGTGCTCCAGCTACTGTTATTAATAGCTGATAGTTTTCTATATGTCAACTGAAAGTTGATCTATTTTTTTTGTATAGTTGGGGATCCCTTGTGCAGTCCCTAATATGAAATGCTTTCTTGCAATAGCAATCAATTGGTCACCAGCTGCTGCTGAAGTGGAACAGAACATTCCATTTTATAGGTTTCCTTCTTGTTAGTTACTTGCTGTAGCAACCAGAACTTAAGTAAAAAAGAAATGGGCAGGGGGGAGGGAATGAAAGTTGTTTGTTACCAGTGGAACTGTGAATTCCAAACCTATTCATCTTTTAAGAGCCAGAGCATAGAGTATTTCTGTGAATCTAAATAAAAAATTCATTGATTGTCTGTCTTTACTGGTGATGCTTTGTGGTTGGTAGTGGTGTTGTGGTTTCCCATCAAACATATTAGATATGTTTACAATAATGGTAATCTCAATTTCTTGTATTTTAGGATCCAACAAGAGTAGAGGAGACAGCAAATTACCTAAGATGTGAGAAGTCCTCCCTTAGCAAAATAAAACCTTGTTTTCAAAATGGACCGAAGTAAGCGGAATTCAATAGCAGGATTTCCACCACGCCTGGAGCGCGCTGAAGACTTTGATGGTGGCACTGGAGGAGAAGGGACTGCATCCCAGATAGGAAGAGTTTGTACCTCTTCATACAGAGCCCTAATAAGTGCCTTTTCCAGACTTACTCGTCTTGATGACTTCACATGTGAGAAAATTGGCTCTGGTTTCTTCTCTGAGGTGTTCAAGGTGTGTGTTCAGTTCGTTGTTCTTCATGTTGTTGCTCAGTGTTTGTTGCTGAGAATGTCAGAGAATATCAGTGGAAGTTCTTTTAATTGAAGACAACTGTATTTGCTTTACTTGGGATGAGTGATGAAGACCTTGCAGGCCTCAGATATTTTCTCTTTCACTCTTCCAGCTGTTTTTATCACTTGTAGTTTATTTGAAGAGTTGTAGGGGCTATTTGGGAGAAACAGTAGAAGCTGAAAAAATTGATTCATCTTTTGGACTCTGCCATGTATTTTTGCCATCATGTAGTGTATTAAACACCAACGGCTATTGGTTTTCTCACATATAAGTATCAATGTCCTTAATTTAGTTTATTAGTTTCGTGGGATTGCACTCATTCCTTTGGTAGTCTTTTCCTCCCAACACTAGATACGTGTGTTAGAAGATCTACACGATTACCAAAATTGAAACAAACGAAAAATGATTGCACTGAAATTACAATACGATAAGTTGCTCTTCTCTGTTGCCTTTACTACTTGTTATTCCATACTTCTAACTCAGTCAGAGATTGGTTTGAAGTAAATGGTATGAATGAGAAAGCCTGATGTTGTGAGTGACTTGCTGCTATGAATTTGGGAAGTGGGTGAGATCTCTCTGAAACCATACAGGTCGCCCCAGTTTTATAGTGCTGGTGATATTTCTGCTGTTCTGACTGTTCGTGTAAGGTTATTGTAGAAGAATAGGACATTGAGTTGACTCCCAGGCTTTCGGGCACTGCAAAAGTATTTTTTATTTCTTGTTCTGATTCTTGACTTTAAACAAAGTCACCCTCCAAGTTCTTTCCATTTTAGTGAAATGCCAGAAAACTTTATCTCGCAATATATTATGCCCATGCCTTGCACTTCATGTAGTCTTTAAGCAGTTAAACAAAAAACCTCTTATTCATCTTTATTGCTGTGAATAGATATGTGAATTAGAAAATGAAAATTAATTTTATGTTGCTTTAATACTCATTAAAGTAATTTATATTTCCATATATACTATGATTTTTCTTATTTACCTGTTTGGAAAACTTTCTGTAATGCATTTTCTAGCAACTGTTTTTGTATCCAGACATTTCTTAATGTGGAGTGAGCTGTTGTTTTAAGTTGCGTGTGACTGGAACTCATCTTTACAGCTTTTATGGTGAAGCTACTGTGAAGTGTATAAAGGTACCATTAGAATTAGGTCATCTCTAAGTAACTGGGAAGTAACAGACCTTGGTTTGTTCCTGTGTGAATTTTATAATTCATATTTTGGAATAGTTTTGTGTCAGGTTTCTATCAGCATTGCAGATTAGACATTGTGCTTTTCCCTATTCTATAAATTTGGGATTTAACCCTCTTTAATACCTGGATTTTCCAGTGCTTAGGTTATAAATTTATCCTATAGTGATATTGCCAATCATATTTATGTTGGGACTTCAAAAAGTTATGTAGTTGAGTAGTTACATACTTTGTGAACAGATAGAGTAGGTGAATTAACTGTAATAATCTACCATGCATTGGTGAGTAACATCATGGAGAAGTGCTCTGAGACAAGGTGCTTGCATATGTGACAGAAAAGTATGATATTAATGATTGCTATGAACCAAAAGTAGGTGAGGGGAAAAGTGGCGAAAAGTAAAGGTAAATTTCCCACATTCATAGTGATTGATTTATTAAGGATATCTTATTTTAAGGACTTGGTTTTGTCAGTGGCATACAGCAGTAAACAGCTGTTTGTGAAATCATGTTGATTTAGAGGGATCTCTGATACCCAGTTTATCTTCCTGTGCACACATAAGTCTTCCAACTCTTTAAAAACCTTCCCTTGCTATTCCCCCATTCAGTCATCTAAACTAGACATCACGTGGTGTCAGTCTTAGTCTGTGGCATTACTCTTAAGAGATGGTGGTAGTCTGAGTATCTAGTGTCTGTTTTCCCAGCTACAACCACAGACCTCCTGCAGGGAGACAATGAATGATAAAGCCTTTTCTTTCACATCAGTTTCAAACAAGGTCTGGCTTCAGCTCTGGTGCAAAGGGTTGAGAATGCGTTAGGACTTTATCTTAGGTGAGGTTCCATACTCGTTTAATCAGGTTTCTGTTCGGCTAGTTTATCAGCCTGACCACCTCTGTCATTAATCCTACTGTGCTGATGATCAGATTTCATGCAAGAACCTTGATGTGCTTCCAAGAAGGAGAGCCTTATGGTCTGACACAGTTAAAGTTCAGTCTGATCTGCAAGCTCCCAGCTAAATGGTTGAACTTAAGAAAAATCCAGGGTAGTTTTAGACTTGCTGTGTAAGTAACTCTACAAAAGCAATAAATGCTTCCCTTTAAATTAACAAAGGTGTCTCAAAAAAACCCCATGTCACCAGAGCTTTTTCAATCATGTATTTGTCTATTGTTTCACGAGTATCATACATTCACTCAAGGGATTTAGTAAGAATGCTTGCTCTGTTTTGAGGGTTTGGGATTTTTGTTTTGCTATGTAACAGGCAATTGTTTTCAGTGATTTCTTCCCATCCATCCTTTGTGTGGAAACTCCTTTTTATATGCAGTCTGGCACAGTGGGCAGAAGCTGATTCTCTTAACTTGGGAATAGGAATACGTTACAGCTTAGATGTATATATTAGTGGTCATATGCGTTATGAGGAACACATCGCTGCTGTTGCAATGATGATGTAATGATGGGGGAGCTTAACTGTTGAAAGCTCCCCAATCCCCAATAGCTAGAGAGCTGACTTACATGTAACAGAGAAGAGTAATTTGTATTTGTTAGGGAATATGCTCTGATAGAACTAAACTACCTAAAGTTAGTGCTGTTTTACATAGATTATCTTTGGGACAGGCGGAGATTAAATTTGAAGACAGAACTCAAGTCAACAAGGCCATAGTCTTGGCCACTTTGAACTGTGTTTTTAGCCTTGAAGGAGTCAAGAGGTTATTCAAAATCAGTTATCAGAGAAAAAAAATTCCATTTTATGAAATACTCTAAGCAGTATGTCAGTATGGTTTGTATCTTAATCATACACCTGGGAAGATTACTCATGTGAGCAGTGAGAAAGGTACGTAATACCTTAAAATCAGTTAATGAAATAGTTGGTGGATGGGCAAAGATGAACCTATGAATATAAGATACATGAGGCATAACGCAAAATACACTACCTTTTAGAGTTGAAATGCTAAGCAGCTAAGCATGGGTGCCTCCAAAGAAAAATTTTGAGATGGAAATCAGCCTCTCATTTCAGCATTACAGCTTACTGACAGCCCTGAGCGCTAAGCACTTAGTTTATGATCCCTTGTAACTTGAGATCCTTTCTGCAGAATTTCTGGCTACACAGTTTTCCTGGTTTTGCAGCAGATTTTACCTAGTAATCCCTAGGCTAAATAATGCTGCTTTTTTCTTGTGTGCGTTGCCCCTCTTCAAGCATTTCAAAATCACTTTGAATTCTAATCCTGTCTCAGAATTTCTTGGCCCTCCTTCACTCCCTCATTTGACTTCAGGTAGATTCCTCCAGAGTCCTACTTGATAATCTCACCAGTTTACCTGTGAACCATTAGTTACTCTTGATTATGGAACTATTACAGTATAGTATAGCATAGCTCCTTCTAGATCAGATTTGTCAGGCATAAGCCTGACTAAACTATGAAGATGTCTTGTAAGATGCATCGAAGCCATCTGAAAAACAAGATACAATGGGCTGATGTCACCTGGATACCCTTGAGAAACAAATGCTGGAAATATGTTAGTGTACTCTGTGATGTATGGACTCCACGAACTACGGAACTAGTGCTACCCAGCTGCAAGGCCGAGTCTGAATACAAAGTGGGGTGGTGGGTGCAAATATCCAGTATCCTCAGGATATTCATGCTGTATGTACTTATGCTGTCAGGCCTCCTATTTGAATACCCTGAAATGATGGTCCTCAATTAGTTAGTTTTCAGTCTTTATTTTGTGTGGTCATATTCATGTGCTCTGAGTTTTGAAAGTGCTGGCTGATCAGGGAAGATGGCCTGTCTAAATACATACCATGTGCCTGGGACTAGGATCCTGTTTCTCATATTTATTTCATGTCTTCAAGGTGCCTTAAAGATAAGCAGCATTGTGCTGTCTAATGTGAAACGAGAAACAGGGCTGATGTGGAGTGGTGCTTAGGGGCAGAGTGAAGAACACACATATATTCTCTTTTATTAAATACTTGTACTTAGGATAAAACTGGTAGTTCTGTACCTCTGACATACACTATCTAGTATAATTTATGGTTTGTATCATTTATGACATTATGTCTCTCAGGCGCATTGTCATGTTGGTGGGCTTGATCTCAGAAACATCTGGCTTGTAGATCTGAGAGATACTGCTGATCTGCCTTTCCCAAAGTGACTCAATGAGAGCTTTTTTTTGCTGTGCTTTATGACTTTATTACCATTCAGCTTGATTAACATCTGGCTCTCTGTTAGTCTGTAATTTTGCAGTCCTTGAGGAGCCCAGTGCAGAAATGTTTGATGTCACTTTTTTCTTTTGGCCTCTGACCTAGGTTTGCCAGAACTTGCTAGCTAGAATAAACAGTGAGAGCAAGAACTGTACAACAGAGTAAGGGAATAACTCATAGGTTTTCAGACACAAAAATTATGACAATAGACAGGTCACTTGACCAAAATAAAAAAAAAAAAGGTGTCTGTCTTGGTTGACATGAATATCTGTTTTCATGTTATACGTTGCCCATTATGTCTTATGGTTAAATTGTATGTTTAAAAGTAAAGGCATTATGGACTTCTCAAACAGTTCAGGCTTGGAAGAGTGTTGGGTCATCTGCACACACACTGGCATATATTCAAAGGTTGTTATATTTTACCAGCAACTGGTGTTTTGTCTACAGCATGTATTGCCACCACATACAACACAGATAGACCCCTCACCCACCTTGTTGTTGTTTTAATTCACTTCTGAAGACCTCAAAGATAGTGTCATGGATCCCAGTGCTCAGTGTGTGATCTC